TTAAAGAGGAGAATTCAAAAATGCAATAAAAATAAGTGGGTACCATTTAAAATTTCAAAGTTGGCGCCAATTTCTCGTAGTTCCGGAAGTTCAGCCATTTTGAAAATAATTTAGTTGAACTCAGACTGGTTGATTTGGGTTGTGTACAAAATTTCAAATTTCTATCTGCATTAGAAGTTAAAAAGTTTCTAATATAGGCCCTAAAAGAATCACCTTGTATACAAGATCATCAGTATCATTAAATAGACATAAAAAAATGTCAAATGTCAAAAAATATGTCAAAAATTTTGACATAAAAAAAAATTTTTGCAGAACTCAAAAACAAACAAAAAATTTGGAAAATTTTATTTTTGAGAAATGTCACATTTTTATAGAAATTTATCACTTATTAATTAGCTTTTTAAAAAAATAAATAGTTTAAGCAAAAAACGTTTAGTTCGATAAGTTTTGTTCACTTGGTACAGGAAAACTAGTTTCATATAAGTTTTTATTACGTAGGCAATGACTTTTGGAACAGTTTCAATAAAAGCAACTGAGTGTAATATAAATTAAACGATTTACGTTCAAGTCACGAATAGCAACGTATAAAAACAACTATTTCTACTCGCAATATTTTTAATTTATTTATCTCACTAATGCTGAGATTTTTGATAAAGTGATCTATCTACTTTTTTGGTAGAATTTAGTAGTTAAACATGACAAAACTATTTATTTTATTTTGTTACAATAAATTGCACACAGATTTCATATAGTAGGTATATTAAATTAATTAAAAATAAAACAGTTTAAACTTTCATATTTTTGAAAAATGTTTGATCTTTGTTTAAAATTAGAAACTTTGATATATATTACACAATAAATGGCAGTTGTATTTTTTTGATGTATAAGTTTTTCCGAAAATCTTAATCGAAGTTTTTATCTGACGACTATTACTAAAGTAAAGAAATAACTTATTTTCTTGTTGTTATTGGACAAGAAACAGTGACTAAAATTATACTTACAATGGCGTACTTTCTACATCACCCGGAGGTGAATAAATAAATTTCACAGAACGTTTAAAGATTTTTGAATAAAATTATAACGATCCCAACATTAGAAAATTTTCTGAGTCACCGTGTTAAAAATTTGCTTTATTCAGGAATTAATGGAATGCTATAACATTAATTTATTATTCTCATATATCAACTACAATTTCTGCAAAAAACTAACCAAGAATATTAAAGGCGAATAAATCTCTGGTGAAATAAGTAACCGACCTCGAGAACTATGCGAAAATTGTATTTTTACGTTATGACAAAACAGTTTCGAAATACTAGTTGAATGCCATCGCAGGCAAAAGTTGTCGAACAACGGGATTTTATCAACGGTCATAATTTCCTATCAACTCATGAATGAATTTAAATTATTCTTGGCGAAATTCGTGTGAAATTAGAAACTTTGGAGATATTGAATTTTTGTAATCATAGCCGATTGACATTAAGTGTAAAATATCCACGGAAAAGACAGAATTTATTACAAACGATTTAAGGATTAGCGGTGATAATCCGACTTTAATTTGTGTATTGATCAGTTGACAAATTTGAGAATCAGAATCGATGCTGGGGCCTGTTTTACATAAAAATTTCAATTTGGAGAGCCAAGTCGACGTTTTCTTTATATACTCTGATGTAAATCCCAAATTTATTGTCTTTAAATGTTTACCAGTTTATTTAATGATCGTTTATCAACGCTATAATTCTCCAATAAATTTTCTCATCCAGTGTGTCTTATAAGGTCAAAGGTGACCATCGAAAGGGACACAGCCCACAATTTGAGTGAACGCTTAGATGGAAAATAAATTTCCATAATTTCCGAATTATTTACAGAAATTTACCATTAGTTGACATAATTTCTCGCCGTCACGCATATAAAAATTAGGCTACATTTGGCTAGAAATTGATCGAAAGCAATAAATTTTTATCTGTGATATCGAAAACACGAAAGTTATTCAACAAAAATCTTTTCCAATTTGTTAAAGCAGTAATAAAATTGGTACATTTGATTGAATCAAAGTTTCATTACAATGTAGCAATAAAGATAGCTATAGCACTACCAGTGTTAACACGTGTTGTTAGTTTTCTGATGGTGGAAAAACTAGATAGATAATGAAGTGTCGAAACAAGTAATAAAAATTTACGTTTTTTTATGCAAAAGACAGATTTTTTTATCGAAGTTTACAGAAACTCATAATATTTTTTTTCTACTGCTGCGTTGTCAAAATTTTTTCTTTTGAAATTATTACGTAGGTACTTCCTTCAAACGCTCGTGAATTAAACATACATGACAATTACATTAAAAGTCAAGTAGTTTTTCTAGTTTTCTTTAAGTTGTGTGTCGGTGACATTTCCTTAAGTATTTATTGTTTAGTGGCTTGCTTACAAACAATAGTTAATGCACCTCATTTCTATGCTATCTAAATTATTTGCCAAGTCGTTAAAAGTGGTTAATTGCAATGTGATAATGGATTTAAGATTTCTTAATGATGTTGCTATTAATGCTTTTTTTATACAAGTAGGTGGTTTATTTTGATGAGAAATAACAAGTGAGCAATAAATAAGCTCGTTTTATTGTATTTTTCAGGTGGGTTAACCCGCGCAATTAAAACCGAATAAATGAGTTTATTTTAAAACAGTTTCGCGGCTTAAAAACAGTAATTAAAGCAGAGTTTATAAACAAAATATGATGAATAACATAATTAAGATGCAACTGATTTATGCATATTTATATTTTTTCACACAAAAAAATGAAAAGCGCTCATTTTTAACTGGTGCATTCGCGATTGTATCATTTGTCAGGATGGGAATAGGAGGGAAATAAAACGCAATCATTATTCTATAGATCCACAGGATACATAAAGCATAAAACATGGAGTGCATAGTGGCAGTTGTCAAGATTGCATGTTTTTATGGGTAAAAATTGCACACAATTAAAAATGCACTAGCTTGCAATTAATTACAGTGACAGTCCTTTATAGCAACAAAGGAATGAATTAAATATTACGTAAGGAAACGAAATATTGTGTCTTTTGGCAAATTTGTGATAGATAATAATCAAGGGCTTCAGGTAGTTACCGAAAGACTCGTTTAGCGAAGCCTCGAACCGGCACTAATTGCAGGTGTCATGCACGGCTCAGATGCCTCGCTTGATTATGTGCCTCGAAATATTTAATTAAATGCATTTCCCGTTGTAATATTATATTTTGATCTGATAACACGAATTTAAAGCCGTTCCTTTATCGTAATTTCGGTTAAAATTAAGTCCGCCGCAACTGCATCACAACTAAATTAAAATTATTATTCATAAAGAAGAATAAAGTTCAAATCTTGGACACGACACCTGGAAATGAAGATTATTACTCGCAAATATGTTGATATTTGGACATGATGCATGATTTAACCAGGTGTAGCGACATAAAACTGTCATGTTAAAAAATTATTTCATATTTTTGTGGGTAATTAATGTGAGCCTCATTCAGAGCTAAATTATTTGAAATTTAAACTCTATTTAAGCTCAACTACAACATTGATTATTATTGAGTAAAAAATATGCTTACGTCTTACACAATAAGATTGAGTTTTATTATTTATCCAAAAAAGACTTATTTATTTTATAATACTTACTTTGTCTTTTTGGTGACTGTTTTTGTAATAATTTAAGATTGGTTCCTCATATCATTTCAAGAGTAAAAACTATTGAATCAAATTTAAAATATGAAAACTTGAGAAAATAATGTGAATCAAAAACTTCGCAAAATATGACTGAGTTTTTTCAACATTTCTTATGAGTAAATTTTTCACTCGTAAAATGGTTTAATGGAGAATAAAAAAAGTTAAAAATATTATTATTACTTTTTATAAAAGGCACTGACTTTTCTACATGATTGTAATTGAGCACACAGATTGTACAGATTTGTCAATTTGAATTTTTAGTAAAATTACGTTTTTCATGTTGTTTGTAACTAAAATTTTCAAAAGTAATTTTGAATGCCTAGAGTTGGTTACCTCTTGTTGTTGACGGTTCACGTTTTCTGTCAACCTGCTGTCAACTATCAATTGAATTTGACACTAGTTACGATATCTTTTGTTCGTCACTACAAACCAACCTAACCAAATTTATTCACCAATATCCCTAAATCCTAGGTAGTAAGTTCTTGCTGATACGATAATAATAATTTGTACAATGTAAAAGTTAATTTATTTTATTTTTTTTTTCATAAAAAATGGGTTGCAAGGGAAGTGCGAGTATTGTGTATTTTCGGCGCGTATTTTTAAACCGGCGTGTTGGCAGCCTTGCCGTCCATTAACGGTGACTTCTAGTAACTTTCGCCGACACACTGACATTTTGTGCGGCATCATGGCATCCAGTGATTTGACGTTAGAACAAATTTACAATTATTTTAAAGAAAATGGAAATGTGGTTAAAAACCGTGAACTCGTTCATCACTTCAAGCATTACTTAACCGATCCTGCATCAAAAGGTAACATAACACATGGCCATTACGTGACAGGAGTCTTGTTTTGGTGCTTTGTTTACGTTTACAGGTTATGACAACAACCTGTGGCATTCAAATTTGTTTTTATGTTTTTCGGTTACTCAGTGATTGATTTTTTATAATACGTTCAAGTTTTGTGGGTTTGGGTGTGTGGAATAGTTTTTGGGTGAATAATTTGATGGGAATGTGATGTAAGTGGCTTTATCTTAGAAGACAATGATTCGAAATGATTGTGAGAAAGGGACTATTGATAATGATAATGATGAGTGAGGCGGTTTAATTGAACTTAAATTACTAATAACTTACAATTCTAGTGCGCTAATTGGTTAATTTAAAAATAGCCAACTATTGATTCATTATTATTTAATTAATAAAAAAATGGTAGTATATTGTTTTGTGTGAACTTTAATTAATTTACTCAATTTTGCCGTTTCGTTTTTCGTTTCACAACACAGTTTGGGAATATTTCGTAGTGTAAAATTCTCATAATATGGAAAAAATTACATTATGTGAATAGGAAAAAACCGTCAAGGTCTTCAAGTTTATTTGTTAATTGAGAAAATTTTAGCATTACATTCACGAATGATTCTTGTTATAGTTATTATGATTAATTACGGAATGCCGTTGGTAATTAATAATAAATAATGAAGCAGTTGTGTAATTATTTTAAATTAAATTATTTTCAAATTTTCACGTTTTTAATTATCACATAAACAAACACCCTTATCTCGGATATCTGTATTTACATTTTTGTTACGTTAGATATTTTCCAGTCATTCCTTGCAATTTCTCTTACAGAAGACGCCCGAATCAAGTTTAAGAAATTCGTCAACACCCTCGCTCAGACCAAAACCGAAGGCGACGAAAAGTTCCTCATTCTCAAAACCCGCTACCAAAACTCTCTCGATTACCCTCGATCATCCCACTCGCCTCAAACTGACCCTCGACTCGCCCTCGGGATCCCCCTATCCCCCGATTGCAGTCCTGCGAAATCACCAGCTCATAGACAACCTCCTCCTTACCGACCTCCACCGCCGGTAACTTCCCCAACAAACTCTCTCGACAACATATCGTTAAGTTCGATTATGTCGCTACAAGATGTTACACCACAAGCGCCACCAAGACGGAAACAAAAGGCCTTCGATGAGGATTCGACACCACGACAAATTCACACTCAGGAGGAGGAAAAACAAACGCCGGTTAGTGTGAAAGAAAGGATGGAGAAGTTTAACAGGATGGCGTCCATGGAGGACGAGTTGAGTCCCAGACAGGCCAAGTCAGCGGAAAAGAAGCGGGAAAAGGTGAGTCATGGGCAGTGGCGTAACTAGAAATTTTGCCCCCTCCGCGAAAGACGTCTGTTGGGCCCCAAGAAACTAAAAAATGCAGTCCTTGTAGATTTATATAGATATAAAATCATTTTTATTCAAGAAAAAAATTATTAGTATCATAATCTCAAAAGTTTAACAATTAATTAATTAAAATAAAAAAAATTTTGACATTGCTCCTTTACAACCTTTAAACATTTATTAATTTATTTCCAAAAAAACTGGTAGTTTACTCCGAAAAAATTCTTTAATTCTTGTAAGTCAAAAATTTTTTAACAAAAAATGTGAGTTTTACAAAAAAAAATTGCACTGCAACAATTCTTGTAACAAACTCGTTGTCTAAAAAAAATTGTGGTAGATTTCCATTAAAAAAATTACTATGTTTATCTCGTAAGTATAAACAATTAATTCATATTCAAATTTTTTTTGAATAGCATTTTTATAGTCATTGCACACCTATGTATAAATTTATTTGCCAAAAAATTTGATAGCTTCGCCAGAAAAACATAATTTCCAGACTTTTAGACCACCTGTATATTTTATTTTGAAAACGAACAATACTTCTCAAAGAAACAATATATAGTAAAACAATTTAACAAAACATGTAACAATAAAAACTTTTTAAAGGAATAATAGCAGAATAACAAAATTTCAGTTCACGTTTACGTAGGTAATTTGTTTTTTCCTTGATTAAATTTGCAAAATTTTGGATAACATTGTCCATGTTTAGTTTTCTAGCGACATCGTATTCTATTGACAAAATGGACAAATTTGTAAGCCTTCTAATATTAAAAATTCTGGAAATTTTTTACCGATTTTGTTGTCTTTAATTTCTCTTTTATGTACGAATTTTTAACAAGTGATGCCAATTCACAGGAAAAGGCGTTTTTGACTATGTCGTTCTTATAAAAATTTCCTTTGTTTCATTTCATTGTTGTGTTGACCACAAATTCTTCATTAAGTTCCGCCAAACGTTTAGGGTTTAAAAAGTTAAACAGTTCAGAAATTTGAAAGAGAAAATTGAACCTTTTTTCTAACTGGGTTTGTAGAATATCCATTACTCTATAAAATACGTTAATCTTCGGCAAGTTCATCAAAACAATTTTTTACCTTGGCTTTTCTTTTATTTTTGAAATCCGTAGTTATTTTTAATCTTGTAGCTGCCGTTCTTGCATCACATATAAAATTGTCAAAATTATTTCTTAATTTTTTTACAGACTGTAAGGGAGCTTTAATTAAACTGATAGCTTGTGATAAATCTAAATCAATTTTCGAAGCAATTTTGATGAAATATCAATTTCTGCGAATATTTTATGTAAAAATGTACACATAAAAATAAATTCACAATTCTCCAATTTTAACAATAAAGATTTAGCTTCGTTGGTTTCCTGTTTTTTTTTTTTCGGAAGTTAAAATACTTCTGTTTAACGTTGTAATTATGTCATATAAACGTAGCTTTACCGCTGTGATTGTCTGAAGCTGAGAAGACCATCGGGTAGGATTTAATTTCTTAATTGTAATGGTAGATTCATCTGTTATTTTACTCAAAAGGTCCCAACGTTTAATACTTAAACCAAAAAATGTATAAATTTCCTGAAGGTTACAAAAAATGATAACTCATAACCCTCTACATTTTTTAATTTCAATATTAAGATTTTCTAAAAAATGTATAATGATATTTACAAGACCGTCAGCGGTTTGCAAATCTGCTTTTACAAAGCCTAAAGACGATTTTTTAATATCTAAATTATTTTGAACACTCTAAACTATTTCTATTATTATTATTTTTAATTTGGGAAAGGGCCGCGGCCGCGGGTTCTGGTGGGTGGGTAGTTACGCCACTGGTCATGGGGGATTTGACGCATTTTCGGGTGCCAAGAACTAAAAAAAAATTAAAATTAAATTTTATAGGGGACAATTGGATCGGAAAATACACATTTTTTTCCAAGTGAACACAACTAATTTTATTATTTTTAATAATTCTAATGTAAATCTCGGGAATTTTCTATTGCCACCGACGAGTATTGATTTCTGTATAAAGGAAGAGTGTTATAATTGAACTCTAATAACAAATTTCGAGCCAAGAAACTTCACTCTTTTATACAATTTTTTTAATGCCTTCTGATTTTTAAAACAACAAAATTGTTTTCATTTCATTTTTGAAAGCATGACTTTCGAGCAAGCTTGTCCACTTTCCCCTCGCAAATAAGTGAGTTGAAAATTTGGTCGGTAATTGAATCTAACATGGGTGAGATGCATATTTAACGATGTAGCTTTGGTTGTAATCAGCGCTAAAAGTACACCTAGTCACTCCGATAACGTATCAAAAAATGACTAATGATCCTATAGTAAGAATGTGTTCAGTCATTGAGTTATTTAAGATTTTCTGATGTGTTTGTTTATCCCTGCTGCGATCACAAATTAGTTTACGGAAATCCACGTGCCGCTGAGGCCGTCTTATTCTAACAACCTACGAAACACTATGGCTCTTGTATTTATGATATCAATTATTGCCTGTCAAATGACTTGCATTTTCGCAAACGGATAGATCGAAACTGGAGAACGTGAAAGTTTTTTTTTTTTAATTTTTAATTTAGGTAATAAATTTACTCATGCTGCACCGCCTCGTGTTGCATGTTGTTTGCTCTAATTTCGCACAGAGAAGGCTTTAGAGCCCGCACGGGAAAAATTCGCCACATATTCAACACCCTTGTTATTCAGCTAATATTCACCCACTTGAATTAAACAACGTTAAATCATAAACTTTTCATACGCATACACGAAATGAATTAAAATTTTACAGCAGTTATTCAAAACGGTGTCAGTTTCTATACGAGCGTTTGTTGTTTTTGTCATTTACATTTGGGAAATTAATTTGTGCGATGATTCCTCATGGAATTAATGCGGATAATTTATTGAATTTTCGACAATATTTATATTTACACGCGTTCGGTGGGAATTAGAACTAGTTTGACGCGACATCGGATTTTTTGTGTACTATGGTCCAATTGTTGCGACGAAATAAACAAAAATGCTTTTTTCAAGTTTTTGTGATGATTAAATAGCTATAAACTGATAAAGAAGTTAAATTTTGCACTTTGACTCTATTTATTTCTGTTGGAAAAATAATTTTCCAAGTTTTTTGGCTACAGTGGCGGACACGGAATTTTGGACATCAAATTTATGTCAGTTCAAAAAATGTTAATGTAAGCCACGCTTTATTGTCATTATGATTGACGTATAAAACTAAAATTTGAAAGTTTTAATGGAAATTTATTTTTGATGTCGATTTTCCGAAACAATACGTGTTTTTATACAGGCTGCGCCAGAACTCGCGCCCCAGAGAAAATTTTCAAGTAAGGTACATATCTATTTAAGGATACTGATGATCTTGTATATGTTTTTTTACAATTATTTAGTAAAGGGACAAAAATTTTGCCACTAAAAGCCACAAATAACATTGAACAAAGTTACAATTTTGGATACAGCTTCCTTGTTTCCTCCTTTAATAGCCTATAACAAAAAAAACTTGGAAAATAATTTTTCCAACAGAAATAAATAGAGTCAAAGTGCAAACTTTAAACCCTCATAACTTCGAAAGTTTTATAGATAAGATTTTTTTAACATTTTTTCCATGTTCCTGGTATCTTACCTTATGTGGCATTTTTCTCTGCGGCGCGAGTTCTGGCGCACTCTGTATAAATTCAATAAATTGTTTTGATTTGTTGTCATTTTCTAGCTATCAGGATAAAATTCCAAAAACCGAAAGTGAGGTTAGTTACCTAAGGCCCGTTTTACATTTTTATGTCAGTCGAATGACGAATCGTCAAAAATTCCGTGTCCGTATTAAAAGAGGAAACAAGGAAGCCATATCCTAAATAATTATGGCTTTTATTGGCAAAATTTTTGTACCTTTACTAAATAATTATAAAAAAAACATATACAAAACAATCAGTATCATTAAATAGACATAAAAAAATGTCAAATGTCAAAAAATAAATGACAAAATTTTTTGACAGATAGAATTTTTAAATATTTTTTCCATGTTTCTGGTATCTTATCTAAAATTTTTTCTCTGCGACGCGAGTTTTGACACACCCTGTACGTATTTTTATCATTGGGCAACAAAAATTTCAAATATTTTTCAAATTTTGCAATTGTGTTACTTATAATTTGTTTATAGCAGTTATTCTATTAGGTGGGACCCGCAGTACGTTGATGGTGGTAAAACTTGAATCACCCTGTGTTTGTCGCTAATACCAAATTTTGTAAGAGACGTAACAAATGAATCCATCAGCAGCAAGTTAATGTGGTGTTAAAACCACTAATTTAAAAGTTCTCTAAAAAGTGTTGTTTTTTAAAATATGTGTCGCAGATATTTTACATGGCGTAGTTTTTTTCTCCTGTTTTGCTTTCATACTACATTACAACGCTTCAACACCTACGACCGGTTCACTAATAAAAAGTACAAAATTTCAACGTTGTGGCTTAATGCGTGTGAATGGCGTGTGGGTATCGTTTGAAAAATATTCGCGGTGGTATTCCACCAACCCGATTCTTATTTATGACACTTTAAAATTTACATTTCGGTAGCCATCAAAATATTATATTTTCATCGGTAATCAGATAATAAATAACAGTAAAAAACATCATCGTCGAGACTGCCTTTGTAATTTAACCCACACTTACATGCAAACGACCACTTGCAAACTGTAATTATCACTCATTGCTGCTCATAAGTGGTGTGAAATTAGCATTTTGGCGAGATTTTCGTTGGCTTTGCCATAAATCTTGATCGGTTTTTTCCTATCGCGTGCAACAAAATAAATTTCAATATTTTTGCATCAAGTTTCCAACATGAAACAAATACAAATTAAAGATGTGTACTCGTAGAGTTTACTTGCTTGCATCCAGCTTTAGATTCTATCAGTACAACTGACTTATGCGTTGACGATATTAAAAAAAGACGATCGTATAGCCATGACAGTCATATTTCGAGTTATCTTATTATTTATTACCTACTGGTCATCTCTGCGAAAAAAGAAAAACCCATAGAATATGCGCTTCTGTTAAATTATAGCATGGTAACTGATGTATTATCAACAACCCATAATTTATGCGCAATTTACTACAACTTCTCACGTTATATCTCAAGATATGACTCAAAATAAATCTGTCAAATTAGTCGAGAATTAATAATTTTGAAACGTGTCAATTTCAATTATTCATAATCGAGGTCCTCGTTAGGCGCCGTTATGCTCTGCCACATAGTAAATCCTCTCGGCGGGTTGTCAAGATTCGGGCTATCTTCCTTGTCCATCTCCATTGTGTCGTACCAATAACATGAAGTAAATTGAAAAGATTATAAAATCAATTGCTTAGAGCTGCGAAGCGACAGTATGACAGTCATGCCCCCTAGGGACTATAACAGGTCGTCATATCGAATTTTCTCTAATGAATTATTCAAAATTTCGCAAAAACTACATTTTTGCACGGATCATTTAATGTATGTACGACATGCAGATCATGAACTAAAAAAAAAACTTCCACCAAAATAAACAATAGCCACTCGAGGTCGAAAAAGCTACCAAATTAGTTGTTTACAAATGTAGCAAAGAAACAATCGAGAAAAGAACAATATCCACGTGTCTGCTAACGAGCAAAGACCGGGATTATTGTTTGGAGGCTTTTTCAAAACATACCTAATACCCACTTGAAAGCATTGCATATCAATTAGATGGGTCAAAATAGTCGACAATGTAATAAAATCGATCGGTGAAATTCAACGCAGACAACGATTTGTAATTAGGTAATAAATTTTATGGAGAACAAATGACGACAGGAATGCATGTAGACCAATAGCAAAAGCAATTTGTGAGAAACAAATTCAATACGCTTGTGGGAGTTTCAGTGGTAAAATAATGACAACTGTGAACAAAAATTTCACAAAGTGAATTTATCGACACAGTTTTAGTCTCTTCATTAGTGCACGATAAAAATTGATTGATTAAAATTGTGTTGCGTAAATTGTATTCATTATTTTTTATTGAGAATATTAGTTACCTACGTAATGGAAATAATTTATTACATTGGTATTACAAGTATAAAAAAAATGATTTAGAAACCACTTTTAAAAGGTCCTATACAGGTGTCGACTAAAAATGAAAGCTACAGCTGTACTCTTAATCCCATTTGGATTTTAAAATGTTTTAGAATACTGTATTTGGAAAATAAGTTTGAATCAGGAACCGTGTGCCAACAAAATATATATATAAGTTTTGGAATAGTCAATGGACAATTTTTTATAGGGTAAGTTGGGGAGAGACAACCACATTTTGAAGATCTTGCTTTAAAATTTCAATGTTTTTTTTTATTCACTTAAGACTAATATTTGTAAACGTATAACCAAAGAAAAATCTACAAAAATTGTATATTACAAACGAGGTAGGAAATATTCTCATTTAGGTTTGTATGTTACTCAGAGACAAAGATTTATACTTTTCGTACTTACTTAAATATTACAAATAATCTTTGATAACAGACGAAAGTCTTTGAAGATTTAATTTCTTTTACTGGAGTTGCATTTTTGGCTGTAAACCTTGGTTCATCCTGTACAAGAGTGACAATTCTATAAGTCGCATCATTTCATGTTGTAAAATCAATTACCGAACCCGGAGACAAATTACGTCGATGTCTCATGTAATTCGTTAGTAAAAACGGCGTGACTAAGTCCTTTTAGCGTATGGCGATGTTATCGCAAGCGACCACTAATTTATACACGATGCTCTTTTGTTTAGTATTGTGTTTTGTCCGCAGGGGTCCGAAGAAGACGACGGCGCCTCGGTCACATCGGTGAGTATTTCCCACCTCTTTTTAAACTTCTTAAATGTATGTATTTTTAAAATTTGATTTACAATTAATAGAGATGTGTATCTTCATTATTAAAACTGTTATCTTATTTTGACTACTAATAACTTGGAGTTAATGATTGTGATCTTGTGGTGCTTCGCGTAATTAAAATATTGAAACGTTCCCTTTTGCTTAGTGATCTTGATTTATTGTCGATTGCGAAATGAATAAATTGTGGGATATACAGGGCGTTTTCTAGTGATTTATTGGAAATATTGATAATGATAGGTTTCAACGCAATAATTGTAATTAAAACAAAAAAAAAATAGATAGAGTCCAATCGTCTGACATACATAAGTAAGCTTTTTTGAAAAACGTTGATTGTATTGTAATGGAAAAAAAAAAGGAAAAAGATAAACTATCGCGGTAATTCATAGTCAGTCAAGGATTTATTGTAATCTGTACTGTTAGAAATGGGAATTAAATTAAAATAAAAAATTTCTTTTATTTGTAATTTTCTAGAAGCAAGGTCAATTTGTAAGTAATGGTGTGATTCACTTAGTAAAAATGGTTGTCAAAAATCTAGAAGTAATTATTATTTAAATTGTGTCTTTTTCATTCGTTTCTAACAATAGGAAAGGTTTGGATATAGGAAATTAACATGGGAAATTAGTTTTTTTTTCCGGCTGCAGGAGTAACAGAAATAAGAATCTGACTGATAGAGTTTGTAGTGCTCGAAAAGGACTTTCTTATCCACATTTTTGTCGATTCTCTAATTAACTCCATTTGGGCGAAAACGACTCTCGAAAAATCGAAATTTGAATTTGCCGGGTTAGCGTTTCTAAGAAACGAACTATCAAGTCAAATTATGACAAATTCTCTTTTCTTTCTTAGTAATGCTAACCCGGCAAATTCACATTTCGATTCTTGGAGGGTCGTTTTCGCCCAAATGGAGTTAATTATAGAATCTAGAAAAATATTAATATGATAGCCCTCTTCAAGCACTACAAGCTCCATCACACAGATTTTTATTTCTGTTACTCTTTCAGCCGGAAAAAAATAGAAACTAATTTTCCATGTTAATTTCTTAAATCCAAGCCTGTCTGGGACACCCGGTATACCTGAGTGTAGTAAGTAAATAAAATTTGTTAACAGTTATGTAATACATAGAATAGTAGATGGACTATCTATAAACCTGTAATAATTTTGGGTTCGTTTGAGCAAAAAACCATAAACGTCAATCTGTAATAAGGAGAGGCTAGCACAGCCGTCCCATAAAATGCATGAGTTATTGTTACAGTTAGAACCGAAAAAGTGCATGGAATGGTACGTAACGGCGTCGAAAGGCGACATCCAAGAGTTACTCAAGCTGGCTCAGGACGAGCCCCGTTTGGTCAACAGAAAGGTAAGAACCGCTCTTATTTTTCGTGTTATTTTTCATTTATGTCACTGTAACCTGATAAAGGCCAAAAAGGCGCCCGAGATCTTCGTCTAGACAAAAAAACCTGACCGATTTGTCAGTGTTGATGTTACCTGAAAAAGAGATTATTTCGATATGCGAAATTGCTTGAAACAATAAAAGCGCAATGTTTTTATCAAAATTGTATGTTTTTGGAAAGGTGTGCTTTCAGCTGAATGGAGAGCTTGTTAATTTCATTACGTACGAAGTTGCGTCGGTTAACCACAGAAGCAAAAAACGCTTCGTTAAACACACAAACCTTTAATGAATCACACACAGGGGCCAAATAAAATAAATTAAATTTTTTACCGAGCTGTTTGTAAAAAGGGGCGATATATCAATCGAAAACGATCGCGCCCACCTATTATTTAGAGAATCGATTCCCGAGACCATCTCGTAATTAAGATAATATATTATTGAACGTAATTAAAATCTATTTAGTACAGCGAATATCTGACTACCAGTGATAAATAAAAGCGTTCGTTATTTTAAGAAGCGCATCGTCTAGAAATATTTCATTCATTAAAATCGGAAAAATATAATTTTTATTCGACGGTGATAAATTTTGTTCGAATTATTAGAACGAAGTAATTAAAATAATGGAAGAAACCAATCCAAGAGTGTATTTTTGTTTGTGACCATAGCTGAAGACCACCTAACAGAAACAAGCGTTTTGTGTTCCCGGCCAATTATTTTCTACAAGAGGTGTTATTAAAGCCGCGGCTCGTATTTCAGTAGTAATGAGGCAACACTGGTAGCCTCAATCCTGACGAGGATGAATAGCAGTCCTACCATCTATTCGTCGGGGTCTGACAGCATCCAAATATTTTCTCGAGATAATCTCCGCCTTTTTTTAAACATGGGAGAAAAATACGAAACCGAGAAAGACTAACCAACACAAGGCGATGTTGTCATGTCGTGACAACTTGACAAATTTTATATCATTTTGTTCGTCTCAGTGAGACAAATCAAATGCACTAAAAAATGTTTTAAAAAGTCCACACACTTTAAACGAAATAATTTTTTTCTAATTTAAATGAATTTAAAATACTTTAACTTTAAAAAATCATTACTCAATAACTATTACGCCGATTTCCTTCAAATAAAGATCATTCTAAAGGGATGGCCTTGCCCTTTACAATGATATAAAATTTGAAATTGAATATTGGCAAACTTTTTTTCGATCTGTGTTCGAAGAAGTTCGAAGTAAATCGAAATAATCAAAGAAAAACCCTACGAGTAAATTTTTTTCATCATTACCATCGTGTAGAGCATCTCTTTATTAGTTGTAATCCAAATTTTCAAAAAAAATATACCGAGTAGTTTTCAAGATATGATTTTTTGAAGTTATGGTTTGTTAATCAAGCATTGCTCCACATAGGAGAAATGCATGTTAATCTTACTTAAAATTGCATTTTTATAAAAATATTTGTTTTAAGACTCTTCTTTTGCTTAAAAATGGTCAATTGCACCTTCTTTGTTCTAACTAAAACAAACAAAAACTGTTTGTTTACTTAAAACAAATAAAGAGTACCTGCGTACTAATTAAAGCAAATAAAGAGTTTTTTTGTTGTAAAAATCACCACTGATGATTGAGCAAAGAGGATCTAGAAGTTTAAGGCACGAGTCTTAAATATAAGGGCAAACCTTTTTCAAATCAAATCACTTTCCATTCATATTTTGACTTGTTCACTTTGTTCTAATTTTCTGAACTTTTTTTGAAAATTTTCTGAGCAAATGCTTTCTCATCACTTTCGAGTGATGTTAAATGCAATAAGTCACCTGATTTATTTTGTTGGTATGATTAGCTTCAGTTAGCTTGTAGGTAGTAGTTGTTGTGATAACAGTTGCACACGAAGCAACTGACTTATTGCATCAGTAGAAAGTGATAAGAAAGCATTTGCTGAGAACATTTTCAAAAAAAAGTTCAGAAAGCTAGAACAAAGTGAACAAGTTGGAATCTGAATGGAAAGTCTCTTAATTTGAAACAGATTTGTTCTTATATTTAAAGCTCCTGCTTTAAACTTCTAGATCCTTTTTGCTCAATGATCAGTGATTATTTTTAGAACAAAAAAACTCTTTATTTGCTTATTAGTACACAGGTACTCTTTGTTTGTTTTAAGTAAAGAAACAGTTTTTGTTTATTCTAATTAGAACAAAGAAGGTGCAATTGACCATTTTTAAGCAAAAGAAGAGTCTTAAAACAAATACTTTTATAAAAATGTAATTTTAAGTAAGATTAATAGCAAACCTTAACTTCAAAAAATCATATCTTGAAAACTACTCGGTATATTATTTTAAAAATTTGGATTCTTACTAATAAAAAGATGCTCTACACGATGGTGACGAAGAAAAAAATTACTCGTAGGGTTTTTCTTAAATTACTTCGATTTACTTCGAACTACTTCGAACACTGTTCGAAGAAAAGTTTGCCAATATTCAATTTCAAATTGCATATCATTCAAAGGGCAATTCCATCCCTTTAGAATGGTCTTTATTGAAGGAAATCGGCGTAATAGTTATTGAGTAATGATTTTTTAAAGTTAAAGTATTTTAAATTCATTTAAATTAGGAAAAAAATATTTAGTTGAAAGTGTGTGGACTTTTTGAAATTTTTTTTAGTGCATTTGATTTGTCTTACTGAGACGAACAAAATGATATAAAATTTGTCAAGTTGTCACGACATGACTTTTTTTGTCGCCTCTTCATTTGAAATTGGATTAAAATTAGCGCTTTTGTTGTAGTCTTGGTTTAATTTTTGTTCTTTTTAGATCTTATTAATTTTGTGCATTTAAAATGGTACAATATCGATTTAAGTGATTAAATCGCTCTGTCTTGTATAATAATGTTGTAATTTTTCGTTATCGTTTGTTCGAAAGCAAGTTGAAATCAGTTGAGCGATCGCATGTTACGATCCATTTCTTTATTTTTAATAAAATCCGGTAATGTAGATGTTGCATTTTCCGTTGCATGCATGTAACCGCATGATGGATATAGTGTCGTCAAAACCCTGAGGTGTTGTAGCAATGCACATTTGCTACCTATGCCCCAGGAGGCATTCGGGGTGGCTGATTGCAGTGCCTTGTTTCATTAGCCATTCATGTGCAGATATTGATATTGCTATCGGCTGATTGATAAATTAAATTAGTTGTCCTATTATTATCAACAATAAATAGTCGACACAAAATCTAAAATAATTTAATATTCGTTACTTGTCGCTAATTATTACTTGTAGACGTGCCTTCGTGGTGTTTGACGTGTTGGTTGGCTTCTTCAGCAGTAGCCATGGGTGGTCCACGTGACCGCTTACCTACTAGCTTCGTCAAACACGCTACAAAAACGTCATAAATATTGTGGTTTATTGTCGGCGATTTTATTATTCGCATGGAAATTGGCACGGGGAGAGGTTGAAATTATCACCAAATCGGGGATTTTTGGTGGCGCCTTTGTGGCACATTGAGGATTAAATCGGCCACGTCTAGACTGATCTTTAACTTCTCAAGTTACAATCAGGGACAGATATCTCTCCGAGATCATCTTATATTTTAATGTGGGATCATTAATTCGAATCTGTCAAAAAATTGTTATTTTTTGCAATTCACTGTTTTACCTAATTTCTTGTATTATATTGGTGTAAACAACTTGTTGTTACCTTGATGGTACGAATAGTTGTTTTGTTTCAGTAACGTCTTGTCCACCTTGTCATCATTTTTGTAAAACGGCTATAATGGCTTTATTTACATTTATGTTTTGTTTGGTGACAATAAAAGTATCGTTTCTGAAATCATGATGAACCAACAATGTGGTAACAAGTTATAATTTTTTTTGGGAAATAGCGAAAGTGTATTACACGTTTTTTCGAGTTTGTATGGTAATTTAAAACGTTATATCACATATCAACTTTTTACATTTATCATTATCTGATGTTGATTTATAAAGCTCTTCCTTTTTCATGTTATGCCAAACATTTCACATCGTGTGAAATTAATATCTGTTGGCTTTATTTCACGTTTACAATTTGCTCACTAGGCCGGATTTGTGTACTTGTTCCTCGATAATTTATTATCTAAATTTAATCTAGTCGCAATAAGGATTTTGACTTTAATTATTACTATCATCAACTGCTGATTTATACATTTTGCCATAAAAATGTTTTAACATCCGACGATTTTACGAAATATAAGACATTAATATGTCGGTTTCGAATTGTCAAAATAAAAATGTACTTTTTCAACTTTATTAACCAATAAAAGTTCTAAATCTTCACCATAAAACGCGTTGTAGGTTGTTGACGTTTTATCTTGAAATTAAAAAAGTAATTATAGACTTGCAACAAGCCAAGACTATGTTACTTAGAAATTACATTTTTAGTTTTTAAATCAAAAAAATAAAACAGTTAGTTACTACATTCTTTGACCGGCTAACAAATCAAACCATCCTACGTGAAATCGCTTCTCGGCCAAAATCCAAAATAAATTATCTGCAAATTTTAACAAATGTTTGTTATTTTATATGCAGACGCCTACTCCGCTATACCATAAAGTAAAATTTATTATCGTCATTTTGAATTGCAAATGCCTTAAGTGTTTTTTAGTTTTGTTCTGAAATAGGGGCATCACTAAATAAATGAAATATAGAATTAAGTTCGTGTGTTTAATATTTTGCGATAAGCCATGAAATTTTTTGATAAGGCTAGATTTACATAGTCTGGACTTTTGCATGTTGTCACAATAGTGAATGACCCAAGCTATCAATGGACATAAGACGTTGATTTCTAACAGTTATGCATAGTTTAATTAATTTATTTCTTCGTTTTGAGTGTGGGTTGTTGGTCTCTTCATTCAGCAGCTTGTCCAAATTTTTTTTTTGCAGAAATAGTAGGTAAATTATAGTAACGTTCACCTGTTCTTAATAAAATGAAATGATATCTTTGGCATCATTATTTC